ACAGGCGGGTGGGACGCAGCCCTCACTGTAACCCACACACTTCACGTACAAACTAGCACGCGGGGAGCCCCAAGTCATAAAATATTGACTGGTTTGAGGGAAAGAGACAAACGGGAAAAGTCTGAAGAAAAAATTGACTGTCACCACCAGGACTCGAACCAGGGACCTTCGCTTGTAGCCAGCGATGCTCTAACCACTGAGCTATGGTGTAGTCGTCATCCCAGCAGAGGCCGTTCAACATTTTCTTCAGACTTCGTAACTCACACTTCCTGTGAATCCACACAGGCGGGTGGGACGCAGCCCTCACTGTAACCCACACACTTCACGTACAAACTAGCACGCGGGGAGCCCCAAGTCATAAAATATTGACTGGTTTGAGGGAAAGAGACAAACGGGAAAAGTCTGAAGAAAAAATTGACTGTCACCACCAGGACTCGAACCAGGGACCTTCGCTTGTAGCCAGCGATGCTCTAACCACTGAGCTATGGTGTAGTCGTCATCCCAGCAGAGGCCGTTCAACATTTTCTTCAGACTTCGTAACTCACACTTCCTGTGAATCCACACAGGCGGGTGGGACGCAGCCCTCATTGTAACCCACACACTTCACGTACAAACTAGCACGCGGGGAGCCCCAAGTCATAAAATATTGACTGGTTTGAGGTATAGAACATATAGAACAATAGAAGTATTTCTTGCGTCGGCAAAAAGTGCTCAATGTCCTAAGACAGAGCGGGGTTATACACTCAGACACAAAGGATCTCCAAGTTTCTCAGTGTTGCTACTCTGAGTTTCGTGCAAAAGCACTCTTCAGGCAACTTACTCTTCTCTCACATCAGTATCCCTTTACATACCAGAAAAGACGAAAAGAAGCACCCTAGGTGGGAATCACAGATGGTGTGCATAAAGTGAAGTGTGGCAGTAGGATGCATGCACATTAGATAGCAGGAGTTCTATATGTGTAACAGATAGCAAGCGCAGTCTACAGTTCAGGTCACCTCCGATAGGAGGTACTTGGTGCTGTGGCGACATTTTGTGACCAGGCTGCATCTGGTGTTGAGGAGCGATGCCTTGTCACTCTTCATTATGGCGATCTTCTCCGATAGGCATAGGTTGCACCGCTTCGAGGTTCTTTTGTTGGCGCTGGATCTCTGCCTGATTCTCCACGAGATGTTGACGCCTTCACCTGCCTCCTTCAATACCCATGCATGCTTTGACAATTCTGTGCTGTTTCTGTGTGGGGCATTCCGGAACGATGACGTGTGATTGTTGAACCGGAGTTTGAACGGGGTTTCGGAGATGCCGATATACTTCTTCCGGCTGAGATTGGAGTCCACTGTAGCTTCGTATACTATCTCGCTGGCGTTGCAGTCCCCGTTGAGTGGGCAGTTTGCTTTGATACGGCAGTTACATCTCTTTTCTTCCGGCTGTCTGAGGACTTTCGCGTTGTGGCCCTTGATTATTGAGGCTAAGTTAGGCGAACAGCTGTAGCTGACTTTGAGCGTGTTTTTGTTAAATATTTTTCTGAGGGCAGATCCTTCTGGGAAATGGCGCTTGAATGTCGCGCCAACATCAGTCTTCACGGATTGGCTGTACGGTGGGTTAAACCAAATGATGGTCCTCTTCCGATTCTTTTTCCTCCTGGCTTGTCCTTCCGTGTTCGCCGGTTCCTCGTTATAGACGAGTGCGTAGTTGAAGCCACTTTTTGAGAGAGCTGCAGCGTACGTGGGGGCAGCCTCTTCAAAGACCGGCCTGCGCGATTGCTCACACTACCACACTTGCCACATATATCTTCACCTGTGATTCCAACCTAGACTGGCTAGCGTGCTTCTTTTCTCCACCTGTGATTCCCACCTAGGGTGCTTCTTTTCGTCTTTTCTGGTATGTAAAGGGATACTGATGTGAGAGAAGAGTAAGTTGCCTGAAGAGTGCTTTTGCACGAAACTCAGAGTAGCAACACTGAGAAACTTGGAGATCCTTTGTGTCTGAGTGTATATATATATACATATATGGAGAGGACCACCGCTGACTTGGAACAATTTCTCCTCGAGTACCACCGTGTTCTTCACGAAGTCAATCGGAGCCTTAGGGTGCTGGACCGCTTCAGGTTCGCGAAGGTCATCAACAAGTCCTCCTCAAGATTACAATGCCGGATCAAAAGTAAGTTTGATAATGCACTCAGGAGGGAGGTGCACTATGAGAAGGGCTCAAGTGAATTAAAACACTCCCACCTACTCAACTTGGCCGGAGTTATGCTAACTAATATTGAAAAAGACGTACTGTGCAGGGGCTTGAAGTTTGGGGTCTCTTCTAGTTCCAGAATGGACAAGGAGATTGTGCAGGCAGAATTCGAACTAACAAATGATCAATGTTGGAGCGCTGCGTACCAGTGAGTGACGCCAAGAGGGATACGTGCCAAGCAGCGTTGGCGAATCTTGCAGAAGAGTTTAGTAACAGTAAAGCAGATAAAACCGATTATCCCCTCAACGACAAGCATATGGCAGGCATCAGGAAAATAAAGAATGACAAAGATATAATAATCTGCAGGCCGGACAAAGGGAATTGAGTGGTGATAATGCAGCGAAGTGATTACAATGACAAGATAAATGCTATTCTGGCTGATGCATCGAAGTTTCAACTCCTGGGACCGACGGAAACGCAGGACCGCACTTACCTGGATGAACGCGCCTTGCAGGCATACCGATTTCGATACAAAAAGGCTGGAAAAATACTCAATATAGATTACGACCGGATCCGACCCGTTGGCTTGTGCTGACCTGTGCTCTATGGCGTACCGAAAATACATAAGAAAGACGTGCCTCTTCGACCAATCCTGTCCATGATCAATGCTCCCCAACACGAAATGGCCAAGTGGTTATCTGAATTACTAAAGCCAGTCCTGAATAAATATTCCGCTCACGCAACTAAGGATACCTTCGAGTTCGTGGATGATGTAAGGGAATTTGGCCAGCAGCAGGCAGAGAACTCTGGATCGCTGTTCCTTTGCTCTTTCGATGTAGTCAGCCTCTTTACAAACGTGCCTCTCAAGGAAACAATAGATATCTGCATACAGTCGCTATACCATGATGATGAAATACCAGCTCCGCAAATACCCCAAGATCTTTTCAAAAAGCTGCTTTTCAAAGCCACATCAGACGTGCAGTTCAGTTTCAATGGCAATATGTACGCACAGAGGGACGGAGTAGCCATGGGTTCACCCTTGGGCCCCGTGCTAGCCAATATTTTTGTTGGATATTTTGAGAACACAATTACAGACAGTCATTGGCCCCAATTCTATAGGCGTTGTGTGGATGACACATTCGCAGCATTTCACAACCGGAAACTGGCATTGGAATTCTCTGAGCGTTTAAATAATCTTCACCCAGCTCTCCAGTTTACAATGGAAGAGGAGAATAATGGGGAATTGCCGTTTCTTGATGTAATTTTAAACTGCTATCCTACAGTATCCCCCATTGTAATTTATACAACCAGGCCCGCATTCAGGTCTATCGCGAAGGATGTTTCACCAACTCTTGAAAATAGTGATTTTATTTATAAGTATGCGTGTCGCTGTGAGCGGACGTACGTTGGTGAGACATGTCAGCGATTCTCGGACAGGATCAAGCAGCATATCCCAGGCAAGCTGTACAAGAAGCCGCCTGACAAACGTGTGGCAACAAGTGATAGCGCCATCACAAAGCATTTTCAAGCGCAACCTGAATGCATCCCGCAGGAGCGCAACAGCAGCTTCAGTGTCATCACACCAGCCCGGAACAGCGCGCACCGATTCACACTGGAGGCGCTGTACATTCGCAGTTTGAGGCCAAACCTGTGTCGACAAAAGAAGCACATCAAGATGCTGCGGCTGTTCAAGCTGCAACCGGACTGACAAATTTGTCACGTGTTTGTTCTGGTACTGCATTCCCTTTATGTGTTGTTTTCCGCATTTTTCCACTGCTCCATACATTCTTATGGTAGTGTAGTGTGAACTTGAGGCGCGTAAGAATATTCTTGCTGATTCTCTACCCCCAGTATAAATTCTGGCTCTGTTTTCGTTTTTGCTCATTCCCATGTAACTACTGATGAAAATGGGTGAAAAGCTTCTAGTATTATGAAACTGACAACCTTGTTGTTGTGTGTATATAAAATTTGTTCACCTACCTCTCTATTTAAATATGTATAATTATACCCAATGCTGTAGACAGCAAGCTGTTTCGGCCATAAAGGCCTAATTAGTACAGCTACGAGCTAAATAGGCCGAGTTACCAGCCATGGTGCAAAGGAGGCACCACAGACATTAAGGTAGCTCGTCGCTCTAGCGCCACAGTGCTCAAACTACAAAAAGTAGCGGGCATTGCGCGATGCAGCAGCACTAGAGCAGCCAATATATATGTACATAAGGCAGTACACGATCACAATGTCCAAACAAATAGCTCAGAATTACAGGCCAAATCAACAGCAATGAAGTCTAATGAAGAACAAAGCATTTTCACACAGACTCTAAGCATCAAGGTCAGAGGGCACCAGCTGTGATAAACACAGCGAGCTTTGTACCAGGGCAGATAATTTTGACACAAACCAGACAGAAATGAGGGAGCGTAATACTCTAGAGGTAGTACATTCATGACTTCTGTTGCCCCTGAACGTCTATTACAATAATTACTTGAACTGTTTACCAAGTATGCAACACATGACAAAAAAGGTGCTATATACATGTAGGCTGTTCAGACTGGTCAGTGGAAAATTCTAACATAGATCTGTAGGAGTTAGTCAGTCCCAATAGGTTTTAATGCTCCTCCACACTAGGCACACCTTTTGGTTGACAAAGAGAAGAATGTATATAGGTCTTCCGTCATGCAAGAGCATTAGGATGCACACGGCCACAATGACCTTGAGGGCTAGGATTGAGTTGAGTTAAAGTTGATTTGAATACCTAGACCGTAATCCGAGAAAACCGTTTACGTCTCATGTCAACTGTAACCTTTCTGTACGCTTTTGTTCAGCTTTCATTTGAAGGCATTCGTGGACGTGGGTTCTATGGTGACATTGCTATCGATGACATAGGCTTAGAAGACGACTGCTATTCTGGAAACACATCTGCCAGCTGTAAGTTATGTTCAACATAGCTGTATATTGCTGGTGATGTCAGGTGGTGATGTCAAGTGGTGATGCCGGGTGGTGATTTTCTAGGAGCAAGATGGGAGTTGCATTCATTGCGGCATCATTATCACAGCGTATGTGTATGTGTGTACGTGTATGTGTGTGTATGTGCGTGCGTGCGTGTGTGCGTTCGTGTGTGTGCGTGTATGTGTGTGAGATGCGGTTCTTTCAAACACGTATTTCTTCACTTGTGCACACACACGCACATGCACACACACACACACACACACACACACACACACACACATGGACAAATACGCATTCCCAAATGTACACACATTCACAAACGTACACACATTTACAATGTGGATTGTGCGGATTCCTGCAGATCGTCCAGCATGGAACGCGCTGGTGAAGAGTGTTTGTGCACACTCCCGTGACGAGTAGAAACAGCCATAGCACCCTTATAAACTCATAACAACCATTCTATAATAATTATTACTATTTGAATCTTTTAATAACTTTCTGGAAACTCAGCCTCGTACATTATAATTATCTCGCCACCCATTGACCATGATGCTATATGAAGAGACAATAAAGATGACGTTCCCCCAACGACACCAATTTTATGACGCTCCATGTTACTCTATGTTACTGAAGTACTAACTTTGGTCATTGGTTTGTAGAGCCCCATTCTCTAGGAGACATCTACATCTGCTCTGTTTCAATGTCCAGCTTAAGCGAACGTGTGGATCAAGCATAACTGCTTGGTTGACGCTGCCGCGGAAATGCGTATAATAATAACACGCATTCACAAACGTACACACATTTGTATTTGTATTTGTATTTATATCATTATCTCATGGCAAATCATGATGACGGCCAGTAAAAATGGAGACAAGGGTGAAAGCCAACCACAGCAGTAAAACAGATAAAAGAATACAAAAAAGGCGAAGAAGGCAGGAGACAAACCAGCAGTATGTCATGCAAATACATGAAACCTATAATCGAGCAGAGATTTAGCAACAAAATTATCCATCGACGTGCAGGTCTTGGCCTGCGTTGGTAATGTTGCTCAAAACACATAGCCAGCAAAGATCAGGGATTTAGTGAATAGGGCGGAGGCAGCGCGTGGAAGGCGGAATGAGTTCCAGGTATTCCGTGTTTCGGAGAACCAATTATAAGCCTCCATATGCAAGGGTATTTTATTTAGTACATGTAATATTTTATGTATGAGAACACAGAGGTGGTACCTATGTCGAGTGGAAAGAGAACTGATCTTGGCAATTTCGTAAAGGCTAGCGGAGGGCAAGCGACGATCTTTGCTTAATAAGATTTAAGGAGCATGCGGTTATGGGTTTCTAGCTTGTTCAATACAGTAGTAGTTATGCCAGACGAAGCAGTATCACAGTAGTCAAGTAAGGGCAATATATAGCAACGATAAAACAAGCTTTTTCAAGAAAGAGGAAGATGTCTACAGTGGGTTCGAAGAGCCCCAAGGATGGAGCTTGTGCGCTTGCAGACATACTGCACATGGGGTGAGCACGACAATTTGAAGTCAATAACAACGCCAAGATGCTTATGCTCTTCAACAATACGAAAAGCAACACTTGAAGAAGGAAAACAAAGTGGCAGGGAAGGGGGAGAAGGGGAAATGTACAGAACAGGGACAAGTTATTGGTCAGCGGTAGCTTTCCTCATGGAGAGCTGTTTCATCCCCCTACACACCTGGCTTGCCGCTATAGGAGTGAAGCTGAACTTCTCGGCTAGTGGCAAGGGTTCGGTATTGCATGTCCACGGGGATTAGGCAGGCTTGAGTTTTTTGAGCTCCGTAGGTTTTCGTCGTTATTTCGCAGCCCACCCGGCATCAGGCCGGAGCGGAGCCCTTAGGAGTGGTAGTGTAGAATCGTAGCTTAGTGTAGAGTAGGTGATATTTTGAGTAGCTGTCACTCCCTGACCTACTCTCCGCCATGGACGAGCTGGCAGGTGAACCCCTGAGACTTCTGTGCAGTCTCCCAGGCATCGAAGCCAATGTCATCAGCTTGATCCAGCAATTGTCGTCGTATGTTAGTGAGTGTAGAGATAGAGAGGAGCGCGTGAAACGGTGTGTGGATGAGCTATGTGCACACGTTTCAGATTTACGAGGCGAACTCAGCTCCTTGAGGCAGTCCACCATTGCCCATGTCGACCAACAGCAACAAAAAGGCGAGGAGGTCAAGGAGAGTGCAGCTAGTAGTACGAATAGTACCCGTACGCTAACTGGAAAGTCTAAGCCGCGCACAAATACTAGTAGTGAAAAATGCCAAAGCAGCAGGCAGATCACGAGGGAAGGCACACTGAACCCCGTACCCGTAGCGCTGCCACACCCTGGCACGCAGGCAAGACGGTGCCCTCAGTGGACACGGAAACGGAGTACAATAGGGAGGTTCCGGGGTACGATTTTCCGTGCCAAAATCCGTATGGCCGCTACGGATTTTTTCCAGGTGTGCTCCATACGATTTTTCGGCACGGAGAATCCGTGTGGACAGGCTTTCATACGAACCATGTTTCGTATGGAGATTTTGCGTCATCGGGTGCAGAAAGATTTTTCGCGTACAAATTTAGTACGCGAAACATCGATTTTCCGCGGGAAGTTTTGATTTCGGTACAAATTTTCTAAATAAAAAGGCATAGCGCAGGAATGTGACGTGCTTGCGATCGTAACCTAGGCAATGACGGCAAACACATAAGTTCCGTACCCCGGAACTTTTCACTGCTCGAAAACAAAGTATAAGATATCCGTAGCGCCTCCACGGATTTTGGCACGAAAAATCGTACTCCGGAACCTCCCTAATGTCATGTACTCTGACGCAGAGGGTACTGAACGGCTGCCAGTCAAGAACTCCAAGCCTGTGTTCAGCACCATCACGGACGACTCTTGGAAGTTGGTCTCTGCAGGACCACCCAAGACCAAGCGCGCTGTTGCCTATGTGGGCAACATCTCCCCAGATTGCACAGAGGACGCCTGAAACAGTTCATCATGGACAGAAGCAAACAGGCAATGTCAGGCTCTTCCATTCCCGTGCATACCTGAAGTGTACATGTAGGAGAGAGAGTGGACGAGTATCAGCCAGAGTCACTGTAGATGCCACCTCCATGCCTATTGTGACCGCCCCCAACTTCTGGCCTAGGCCTTTGTACTGCCGACCTTGGTGCTTCTCCAAAAACTCTAGCGGAAACCGCAGCAGCAACAGCAAAAGCAGCAGCAGCAGCAGCAGCAACGACAACAGCAGCAGCAGCAACAGCAGCAGTGACAACAGCAGCAGCAGCGACAACAGCAGCAGCAACAGCAGCAGCAGCGACAACTGCAGCAGCAGCAGCAGCACCACCGCAGAATCTTCCGCACAACAGGCAAACACCACTGGCAACGCAAGCAGTGCAGATGAAAGGGACAGTGAGGATGGAAGCTCTGCCGATGCAGGTACCTCGAGTCGGACTCCAGGGATGAAAGCTCGCTCCCACCAGCGAGATTCACCACCTGCAGACCAAGCAGCCAAGTACTGTCTCAGTTGGCAATGCGTTTGCACCCCTAAGCCGGTAATGACCAACAAAACCCTGAAACTGTTCTTAACAAATGCCTTTGGGCTAATGAGTAAGTTAGATGAATTCCGCCATGTGCTCCATGCTGAATTCCCGGATGTTGCCATAGTAACAGAGTCTAAGCTGTCAGATGCTGTGACTCAAGCAGAGTTGACACTCCCTGGCTACTACCAGCCTCTGAGACGCGACCGAAACCGCCATGGTGGCGGGGTGGCAGTTTGGGTGAAGGCCACGCTAGCCATGAACGAACTGGATACCATTGATGTCTTCGGCCAGGAGCTAGTATGGCTAAACGTCAAACTGTCAACTGGCCGGCCTGTGGCTATATATGCTGCATACCGTCCTGGAACTTGCTCAGACACAGACACCAGCATCTTTGACGTGATCTGCAGGGGCCTCACCTCCACAGCCTGCCGCAACTCTGCTGTGATAGTTGCTGGAGACTTCAATGTACATAACCGAGAGTGGCTCCACAGTAGCAGAACAACTAGAGCCGGCGAGCATGCAGAGGACATGTGCTACATGCACAGTCTTGAGCAGCTAGTCGACCAACCAACGCGTGACCGCAACACACTGGACCTGATTATGTCCGACCTACCCGTAGAGTCATGGCTACTGTCTTGCAGAGAGCACGCTGCCAAGGTACCGGAACCCGCCCACCATATCAATCATGCTGTCACCACCGAGTTGAACGGGATCAATTGATGTAGGTTGAGCCACCGCCATGCCCTTCTTCTTTCTAATGCTGACGGTCAGTCCCCATCGCTGTGCACAGAAGATGAATTCGAACGTCATGCACTCAAATCTCTCTGGTGGTTGCATACAACGCTGCATCATCGGCGAACTGGGACTCAGTCACCCTCGTCGTGGATAACCGGGACTTGGCCATGCGGTCCCCAACCAGCTTGCGACCGTTTCTGAACAGCAGGTCAACTCCAGCGTCTGGACAACGTGCGCGCCAGTCCGCAACCACCACACTGAAATACAGGTTGAAGAGGGTTGGTGCTAGGGTACATCCTTAACGCAGCCCATTAGTCACAGAGATGTTGTCGGCAAACTCACAAACTCGCACATTTGCACACATACACTCGCACATTTGCACACGCACATGCACATTTGCACACACACACACACACATTGGTGCGTCCATGGAGCTATGAAGCCGAGACCTCTGGTCGGCGGAGCTTAATGGGCCCCACCGCCACACTCCATCATTCACCCCAGTGTCTGGAGATATGTGGATTTTGTAGAAAAAAAAGAAGAAAAAAACATGCACATTTGCACACATGCACTCGCACATTTGCACACACACATTCGCACATTTGCATACGCATTTGCATACGCACTCGCACAAACACACATGCACATTTGCACACACACACACACGCACACGCACATTTGCACACACACATCCACTCACGCACATTTGCACAGACACGCACATACACACACACGCACACACACACACACGCTTTTCGAAGCAACATACCCAATCCATTCACATGTAACAACTGTAGAGCTACTGGGTACTAGAAAGATGTATAATGCCAAGGCACTTCTCCGCTGAACTTGACATTCTGCATGCAAATCCTATTGTTTCAGTTTCCCAGTGTCAACATGTGTGTAATTATGTTTAAACAGGCGCTGCGCTGGGTAGTTTGCTGATCGCTCTTACCGATGTTCATAACCAAACCTCATACGACCTGGTGATTACAATGATCGCTGCTAACAACACTCCTGAAGTTGTCACTCTGTACAACCAGATGCTGTCATCCACTTATCATCCTAGCGCTATTCCAGCAGGCCTTGCTACCACACAGGTCATAGTTGCTGTGTTTGCAGTGGGCACTACAACACCTCTCAATGTCTACATAAAGGGTGAGTCGGCAGTGAACGTGTACCTGTGTGTCCGTGCAAGGGAGTTGTTGGTTAAATTTCAAAAGCATGCACTTCAGCCCTCAAGTCTCAGCTTCGTGGTACCTTGCTGTAGTGATGCGTGCTCCTTCAAACATCAACTTCTTCCAGTGAAAATGCGACGAAATGCTGACTGCTGATTGGTCCATTTAGCATTTTTGAGGCCGTTCAGCACCCTGGCTTTTCTACGCACTAATGTGAATCCTGAGTGTGCATGCTAAGTGCAGACTCGGGAGTGACAAATGATGCAAGCATTCTTTCATGCAACGACTTGGAAAAATCAAGGAGATCACGGAGACATAATGTGTATGTGCATGTGTATACGAACCTGTCCCTCCTCTGTAGATGAATCTGAGGTGACCCAGAACAACTTGCTCGCAATGATGAAGGACTCGCGCAATTACATGATGCAGGGTATGGTGGCAAGCAGTGCTGCTTCTCCAACTCGCCCTCTTACTGCTCAAACCACCTGGAAGGTTGCTGGCACACCTACCCCTACTGCTCATTATCGCATCTTCAATGCTGATTGCTATGGTTCAAGTCCTCCTGATACTTGTACTCGGCCAACATATACAGCCATCTCCATGAATGCCAGCTCCCTTACTTTTCTGACGTATGGTGTTTACGAGGTCGTCTTCCAGGTCACCACAGGCTCTGGACCGACGGCGAAAACTAAATACATTACACCACCTCTCCGCCTCACTGTCAACACTGACATCATACTGGGACAGACACGTAAGTTTGTTATCTTTAAACCCATTTACCGGTCTAATTCAATGTATATGAGGGATGGTTATGCAAACACATGATTGTGCATACAACCAATCGTGGCCCTAGAACGATTTCGCGCTAAAGAGGTTAAAGACCTTTACCGATCTAACTCAATGTATATGAGGGATGGTTATGCAAACACACGTGCATACTAGGTAAGGATACTTTCAAAACCTGTATATCTGACTGCGTCCAGCAAGCACAAGCATGACTAGGCTCATATGGTAGATATTGTCCTGACTTTTCTGGTCAAACTTTCAGCTATCAAGTTTGTCCTCCTTTCAGCTGTATACCCCATGTCTCATACCTGATCTTCCACGCATCCCCGCCTTTGTCTCTGTGTTTTCCTTTCCAGCTGTATGCCCACTTCCCACTACTGACTCTCCTATGGTCAATGTACCGTGTACCTGCGAAGATGGCTTCAGCTGGAATTCTACACGCTGTAAGAGCATTCTATTATGTGTGTGTGTGTGTGTGTGTGTGTGTGTGTGTGTGTGTGTGTGTGTGTGTGTGTGTGTGTGTGTGTGTGTGTGTGTGTGTGTGTGTGTGTGTGTGTGTGTGTGTGTGTGTGTGTGTGTGTGTGTGTGTGTGTGTGTGTGTGTGTGTGTGTGTGTGTGTGTGTGTGTGTGTGTGTGTGTGTGTGTGTGTGTGTGTGTGTGTGTGTGTGTGTGTGTGTGACCAAGACCAAAAGACCAAAAAGTAGGGATTCACTGGCCAGAAAAAGCCACTTCATAGCTGTGTGGTGTAGACCAGGCTGAATAGTGGCGGTCAATTCTTCAGCCTTGCAAGTTGTTGAATGGTGCAATCCCAGCACAAGCTGCTATGGCTTCTGCTATAGCATCGCTATCATCGCCTTCGGCGATGGGCGTCCAATGGTCCAATGGTGTGTGTGTGTGTGTGTGTGTGTGTGTGTGTGTGTGTGTGTATGTGTGTGTGTATGTGTGTATGTGTATGTATATGTCTATACAAAAGAGAAAGACCAAGGAACTACAAGTTATGCTATACTGTACACTAACACCACCGGTTACTAAACAATCAGCTCATGCGATAACATTGCACGACACTGACCGACGGTACTGACGTTCTACAACTAACTGGGTAACAGCTCTAGCACATCTTGGATGCGCACTCCAACAGCCTTCCAACTCAACAGCCTTCCAACTTCGAAGTTTCTTAGTTATAGAAATAACATAAGGAGGGGAAGGTGAGCGCAACCAAGATAAATTAAACCTTGGCTCTCCATCTGAGTTCATTCCTGCGTATCTGTGTGGGTATGTGTATGTATGTATGTGTGTGTGTGTATGTGTGCAGCCAGTGCATGCCGGAGTATGTGGTGTGATGTGTGTGCGGGAAAAAAATGAAAAAGACCAAAAATAGGGATTCACTGGCCAGAAAAAGTCACTTCAAATAGCTGTATGGTGTAGACCAGGCTGAATAGTGACGGTCAATTCCTCAGCCTTGCAAGCTGTTGAATGGTGCAATCCCAGCACAAGTTGCTATGGCATCTGCCGTAGCATTGCTATCATCGCCTCCGGCGATGGGCGTCAAAGGTCAAAGGTGTGTGTGTGTGTGTGTGTGTGTGTGTGTGTGTGTGTGTGTGTGTGTCAGCCAGTTCACATATCTCGGCTCAGTGGTAACACCAGACGGACGTTGCCACACCGATGTGTCTAACCGCATAGCTGCTGCATTTAAGGCCTTTGGCAGCCTCTACTTGTCAGTTTTTCGGAACACTTCACTAACATCTAAGACGAAACAACACACGTACAAATGCTGTGTGTTTCAAATCTTTATTCTCACGATAGCCAGTGGCCAATAAGAGATAATAGTGTAGGAAAGGAGAAAGAGTGAGGAAGAATTGGGTGGGCAGGGCCTAGGGGTTAATGACTACTTAAGTGTACGTACGGGCAGGGGTGGTCGCCACACGAGCATACAGAGTTGTGTACTTAATTATGTTACATCTCCAACACGAGTCACGGCAACATCATCCACGATGCTAGATTTGTTCCTCTCATCCTCCCCATTGGATGGTACCTGTGAAGCAATACACTTAGCATAAGTGATCACTTTGCTGTGCTGGCCCGGCTGAGCATTCACACACACACCAGCACGTGTCATCGTCAGTAAAAACCACGGTTCATTCGGTTCATAAGCAGATGACACCCATATTATTCGTCATAAGATCAAAGTCACTGAGCGGAATGAATTCGGAGGAGTTTCACAAGAAACTGCTCTCAGTACTGTATTTGATCACAAAGGCGAACAATTGTACAAAGGCCAAGAACGGCAAATCATTCAAAAACAAACAGAACGACGACCAGCTAGCCGTGAACAGGAGATGGAACGCGAAAACAACAAAAGTGGCTTTCAAAAGGGATGCGCTGGTTGCTTGTTGCTTTTCTTTCTCGTTGCCAAGTCGATTTCTATTGTAACGCCGTTTGTTCCGGATTTTGTACCTGTACCTAGTGTGGTTGCCACCTGATATACATCATGAACATGTAAAACATATTATTGGTTATTCCAAGTGATATGATGTTGATGAGTGATCTGCAGACCTACGAAAACAACTTCAGATCAACAACTGGCTTTCTGTTTAAAAGAACAGGCTTATATGGAAACGGACAGCTTCTAGAACATTCAACTGCCTCACATAACTAGCACGAGAAAGAACAGAGAATTAAGCTTCACCCAAATAGTCCGGACGAGATAATAACTGATGGTTTTGTCTTCTTTCACATAGGTTTGAATGAGACCATTTGCCCGCAAAACCGTAGCATCATTTCCGACCTGGACAAATGCGATTTGTGTACCGGTTATCTGTACAACTACACTTGCGTAGGTGAGTAGTGGTATTCGATTAGTACGTACAGTATACTGTATGAGGTGACTTCAAGAGTTCAAGTACCGCTTTGAGCCAAATTCTGACTTTAGGGCTCATAAAATGGCCGAATTTGGACATTGTCTTAGCCGATCGAAAAGTCGATCAGGCAGAACAAATGCCTAAACACAGCTTCCCCATCACTCTTTCTCTATTTAGGGGCCGTCCAAGGTTACCAATAATATTTTCAAAACGAAATGTTTTCGTTTGTGGGTGGGTGGGTTTGATGGAGTTTCGTTTTGAAAATAATTATTGAATGCTGATGGAGAATGCCCAGTCACTTCTGGGTGTCGAAAATTGACATCAATATTTTATTGAAATTCGTTTTACCTGCAGAAAAGGTGGGTGGGTGGGTGGGGGCTGAAAAATACTAAAACCTTTCGTTTTGTAAAAACAATCGGTAACCCCGGACGGCCCCTTATATACTTCTTTGAAGTATGTATAGGTATGGTCAGGGAAAGTCCCGGTTTGTAGGCCTACAACACGGTCTGCGTGTTCTTGAGTGCAGTAACAACACAAGTGTGATTACTTCCAGACCAACGGGCGTTCAAGGCGAGTAACAAGCGCACTTGACGAAGGTGACTCTGAAATCTCGTGAGCCGTGATCCACGCGACTTGGCATTCTTGCGTCACAAGGCACGTGATTTCACCGTGCCTCTTGTGGTAAAATTCAAGAATTGCGCTCATTCCTTCAGTCACTTTTGCATCAACAGTCGCACAAAAAATTATTGGTGGCGCAAGGAGAAGCTTGTCGTTTGGAGTGACAAGTGATCACCGCTGCTTTTCCTTGTCAGAGCCAACAATACACTTTGTTCTGCGGCCTTGGGAGTAGTGTTGGAGTAGAAATTGCTGAAGAGACGTCGCGGATGGGCGAGCTTTCCTGTGCAGGTATGACTTTGGCCGTATTTCAGCATGGTCGAGCGGAAAAATTCAAAAAAGTTTATTTCAAGAAAACCCCAAAAGGAAGATGGGGGACATGTCCTCAGCGCTAGAAGAGGTGTTCTACTATCTGCCGGTGTATAGACCATATCCAATAACGTCACGGATCGCGCGGCCAAGGGGGCTGCAGAGTCACTGAGTGGCAAAAGAGAGCAGCTGAGAGTTTTGAGTTTGAAAGTACAAACGGTCAAACCACTGAGTTTGGGCGGAAGAGATTCAAGACGAGAAGAAGAAGGCAGCAGTTAGTAATGGATGGCGAGCAAAGCGAGGTAGTGGAGTTTTCATCAGAGTACAAGAAGTTGGATGAGGCTGCAAAGAAAAGGTACGACGAGAAGCTAAATTTGATCGCGAAGGGAGCGAAAGACCCGTACTGCATCAGTGGCCATCAAGGCGATCATTTGTCAGACTTGCTTCCTCTAGTGGAATAGGTGGCAGGGTGACTGGGAGATGTGAGTGCGTACGAGGCGACATCGGATCATGAAAAGAGAGTTGTGAAAGCAAAGGTGAGACACTCCCAGTCAGTCAGCAGCGACCCTCTCACACCGTGGATAGCTGCAGAACACAATGGCACTATTATTTGCGCCCACTGCACCTGCAAAGCGGGGCTGAGTGAAGCATGCGCCCACATCGCTGCTTTATTGTTTGCCTTGGAATCGCACACTAAATTTGTGTCTGACAACGCCTGCACATCAAAGGGATGTGTGTGGTTGCCACCGTCCATAAAGTCAGTTGACTACAAGAGAATAGCTTATATGGATTTCACCTCCCCCAGCAAGAAGTCAAAGACATCCAAGTCGTCTGCTGCTTTACCCAGCCCAACATCTCCTGTTATTTTGGCCAGTGCACCAACAACGTCAGAACTGGATGGATTTTACAGCAAATTGTCCGAGGTGGCAATGCCAGCCCTGCTGTCCATCGTGCCAACTTACGCAGATGCATATGTTTCAAAGCTACCATCTGATATTCCTGCACCACTGTCCAACTTGTATGAGGAGTCGATGGTCTCAGCCAATTACACTGACTTGCTTGACCGATGTGATGCAGTGTTCTCGACAATTTCTGTGACACCAGATGAGTGCATGGCAATGAAACGAGCAACGCGCGAGCAAGCAAAGTCAGACTTGTGGTTTATGTGCCGTGCGGGTCGCATCACTGCCTCAAAGTTTAAAGCCGCTTCCCACAGTGACGCCCATCAACCTTCTGTATCACTGGTGAAGGCAATTTGCTACCCACAGAGTATGAAGTTTACATCCAAAGCAACAACGTGGGGATGTGAACATGAGCAAATTGCCAGGGATGCCTACAAGGTACATGTGATCAAGAAGCATAAGGCATTTCAGCTTTGTGACAGTGGTCTTGTGGTCCGTAGCGACTATCCTTACCTTGGTGCCAGCCCAGATGGTGTTGTGTCTTGTGCTTGCTGTGGCAACGGTGTAGTGGAGGTTAAGTGTCCCTACAGCTGCTGTGACAATGTTATTTATTTAGCATTGGGTCAGCTATCTTCACCATGTTGGTGTGCTTACATGTTTCTGTTGTATTGCATTGGTGCTTGTTCCCTTGGCCTTTGTGTCTTGCATCAAGAGTTAGCGTGTGCATGCTTAGCTGTGTGGCTGACTCATGAGTCATGCTGATGCTTGCGAGCTGTATGCTACGGTACGTGCTGTGTGCGGATCATTCTGCTGCTGGTTCTACATATGACGTCTTTATTTCTTTAGTACAGCCATAGTACTTGCTGCTTTGTCCAACTGTCTTATGCACGTTTCCTGTGACCTCGTGCATGAGCACGTGGACCTGAGTTAGTTCCGGAGATGCAAATGTTCCGGGCTCGAGGTAGTAGTTGGCGAGTTCCTTTCGATCTTCTTCAGATTTCTCTTGGACTGCAACGTTCGTTATACTATAATTTGGTAATGCTATAATTATTATCTGTATCCCTGTATTCCCCTGGATTGGCTGTGGTTGTGCCTGGTTGGGGTTGGGTCGTTGTGCAGTTGGAGTCGCGTTCCGTTACAGCACCCACTTCTGGCATGTACGCACGTGCACACTTCTGGTCTCATATGCTTACTCTACCGCATACTCACGCATTCTCAAAGAGAGCGAGAGAGAGGCTGCATTATTGCCTGGACGAATGAATTGTCCAAGCTATCACTGCATGACCAATAAAGGAAAGAAATAGTACATGTGAGTCAGGGTAAAGCATGCAAAGATAAGAGAGAGAGAGAGACTGCCTTATCGCCTGGACAAGTGAATTGTCCAAGCCATCACTAAAAGACCAAGAAAGGAAGAAATCATACATGACAGTCAGGGTGAAGCATACAAAATTAGAAAGAGAGAGAGATGGGGATTTTATGAAGGACTTTGACATGAAGTTTGATGCAAAAAGGTTAGTATGATGAGCCCTCACGGGGTCGAAACAGCTAGCTGTCCGGAGATGGAGCAAGCACTACTATACACATCCAGCTCTGGCTTTGTCTCAGAGCTAAGGATACATCCCTGCTTAGCCAAAGGCACGACTGACTCACAGCATTTGCACAACGCGCAGCACACAGTGGCAATCTTGTCAATGACAGCAATGTTTGCATCACTGCTGTCACGCATGAGGAGGTTGATCGGCAATGTGGATTGCAACAGTGTATACTTGTTGCGTAGCACACCAATCACAAGCTCAACATGAATCCGGACTCGGGAGAGCCGTCTCGCTTTGTCAATTTCAATTCGAGACAACTGGCTCTTCCCTCTCGTGAATGGTGGGATCACAAGCTCAGCACAGTACAGACCTACGCTGTCTTGTACAGTGAAGCCCCTATCTGCCAGTACCTGGTCACCCGGGAGGAGTTTCTCCAGAAAGCCACAATTCTCGGTGATGTGCTTATCCGATGTCCTCCCATCCCAGGCTTGTGAGATGAACGATATTACACCTTGCGGTGTAATAGCAATGAGGAACTTGATCGTGTTGTGCGATTTATAATGTGAGTATGACTGCGCTCTCACCATCAGATCAGAGG